CCGGGCCCTGGCATCTCAGAGATCTCGGAGTCAGAGGCTTTGTGGTCTAAGTCATCAGTCTGTCAAGGGGGATATGCCACAGGTTGTTGTGAAGGTCTCTTAATTGTTTCTTGGCCATTTAGACCCGGTGCTTCAGAGGAAAACACAGGAAGAAACTAATTTTTATTGCTGACTTGGGGGTTTGTGTAAAGCGAATATCAAAAGAGGCATGAGGTATTGGTCGGCACCTCTCTGCCGCATGGGGCAGAGCCCTGAGGAAACCACAGTGTGTGACTGCATCGTGAAAGCGGCATGCGAAGGAAGTGCGCAGAGGCAGATTCAGGTTGAACTCGTGATGAGTAAGTTTAGCTCTCATGTGTTTGTGTTCCTGGATTTTACATCTTTCACATTCTTTTGAGGCAGAGTTTGTGTGTGTGGTTGTATGTGCTGGAAGCAATGTCTGGATGACGGCGCATGTGATGTGAGGAGCAGTGCGCTGGTGCAGGGAAACTGGGGATGTGCTTGGCTTGCTGTGGGAAAGAGGAGATGGCAGAAAGCACCAGGCACTGTCCCTAGCTCAGCCCCGCTGCTGTTCCTGACCCTCGGTGCAGGGAGCCTGCGAGTGACAGCTCCAGGAGCTTCCTTTTGGCCCTGGAAAGCAATCTTTTCTGCACTCCTTGCAGATTCGTACTGTGAGACGCTGCCCATAGACGGCCCTCCCTCTTTCCGGGGACAGTCGGTGAAGTACGTGTACAAGCTGACCATCGGCTGCCAACGTGTCAACTCCCCCATCAAGCTCCTGCGTGTTCCCTTCCGTGTCCTCGTGCTGCATGGTAAGGCCACGCGCTGCCCTCCCTGCGGCACAGGCCTGGCTGCACCTTGCCCTGCTGACACTCTCGCCTTCTCCCCAGGGCTCAAGGATTACCAGTTCCCACAGGATGAGGCCGTTGCACCCTCAAACCCCTTCCTGGAGGAGGAGGAGGGCTTGAAGAAGGACTCTCGCCTGGCGGACCTGGCGACAGAACTGCTCATGGTGGCCACCTCCCGACGCAGCCTGCGTAGGTCATATCCCCTGCTTGAACCTGCTGTCCTAGCCTGGGTGTGAAGCACAGCTCAGGGCTCGCTGCAAAAATCTCTCGCTGGCAAAGCGAAGCTCTGACTGGGGCTGTGGAACAGCTCCATCAGGGCCTGCTTGGGTCAGAGTTTCCCTTGGGCTCCTCCCTGCCAGTCTGAGGCTCTTCCTAATTCAGCCAGAGAGACCCTCTCCCCAGTGTATTGCAGTCAATGTGTGGTTTGCTCTTGCTCACTGCAGGTGTTTCCCAAAGGGAATGCCACCTCCAGGGTCTGTCCTTCACACCCAAGCAGCAGGCATGGAGTCGTGTCTGCTGGGCTCTGTGATTAACCCCAAGTGCTGTATGGAGCAGAGCCTCGTGCTGCTGCAACCCTTTCCCTCCCTCTTCTTGCTCCACAGACCTGTATAACATCAGCAACACTCGTGGGAAGGTGGGGACGTTCTGCATCTTTAAGACCGTGTATAAGATTGGAGAGGATGTCATTGGGACCTTTAACTTCTCGGAAGGAGACATCCCGTGTCTGCAGGTCAGTGCTGGCTTCGGGACCACTGTGGGCAGAGGCAGGGGTTTCAGATGGGGGAGAGGAAGAAGGGATTGGGGTGGTGCTGGGCTGCTGTGGGGTTTCTACTGAGGGTTTCTAGTGGGACCCAGCCGAGGTCCCCTTGGGGTGTGAGGTGGAGAATGGCTCCAGTTCTGAGCTTGTATGGGAAACGGAGGCCCCGGGGCTTTGCGCCAGGGCTGTGTGAGGTTGTGAGAGCGAGCCCTCTGCCGATTGCCCTGCAGTTCTCAGTGAGCCTGCAGACAGAGGAGAGCATCCAGGAGGAGTTCCAGCGCCGGCGGGGGCAGCCCGTCTCCTTCAGCACGCACGCCCGCCATCAGGAGGCCTGCCTGCACACAGCCCAGAGCAGCTTCAGCCTGCCCATCCCACTCAGCTCTACCCCAGGATTCACCACCAACATCGGTTAGTGGCCACCAGGGAAGGGACCCACCCCTACTTGTCTCTGCAGGAGGACTGCGATGTCCCCAGCCCTGCCCTTGCTTAGCAGGGCTGTGTCATGTGGGAGGGAGCTGGTCTGCATGAGTGGGCTTATTTGCGTGTCCTCTTGCCAGGACAGCCAGCGCTGAGACAGCTGCTGTCCCCATCCCTCGTGGTGTTGGCTACTGATCTCCCTCTTGCCCACAGTGTCCCTGAAGTGGAGGCTGCACTTTGAGTTTGTGACCTCCGGGGCGTCGGCGGGGGGCTGGCTGGGTTCTGGGGAGCCAGTCGGAGGCAGTCACCTGGACTGGGGTGGAGCAGATGGAAGTGGACACTTTCAGCTGGGACTTGCCCATCAAAGTCCTTCCCACCAACCCCATCTTGGCTTCCTACGTATCTCAGTTCTCCAGCACTAACTCCATCACCATCTGAAGTGGGGAGAGCTGGAAGGGGTCTGCAGTGCTGCAGGCTGTGCTGCTGGTGGGAATGGTGGGCAGGACTGTCACCGGCATGCTGCAGGCCCTGCATCCCAGCGTGCCCTTGGGTTCATCTGTGATGCCCAAGTGGGCTCTGGGCAAGTCTGTCCCACCTGCAGGTGGAGGAACACTCTGCTTGCTGTGCCGTCTTGTGCTGCAGCCCTCGGCTGGGAGCTGGACCTTCCTGCCTGGGTGAAGGTGCGAGTCCCAGCACTCACCAAAAAGAAATCTGCCTCCCAGAGAATGGCCCGACATGCCTTTACCCCGTGAGAGGCTTCCAAGAGGGAAAGACGCAGCCCAGGGAAAGGAGAGGGGAGCTCTTCCAGTGAAGTCCCATACCAGCGTTGGGTGAAGGCCGCCCCCCCTACAGAGAGACCCCACAAGCAGAGGTCTGGCATCCAGGTGAGGCACGCTGGCCACCTGGGCTGGGTGGGAGCCTGCTCTCCTGCCTTGGCACGCGTCCCGCCTCTTGTGAGGGGTGTCTTGTGTGCAGCCCAGTGCCCCCGTTATGCTCACCCGGAGGACGCAGGTCCTGACAGGCTGG